GACGCCAGCTACATCCCTACGCAATCCAATCAAATTGGTGGCGACCCTGCTGCGACCACAACGGCTCTGGCTCCATAACTCCTTGAAGGTTACTCCGAGGCGCCCTGGCCAGAGGGGACCCGAGGCTCAGAAACGGCGCTCTCGCCCAACACGTCCTCGCAATTTATAGCATCGAGTTCGTAACGGCCCAGCTGCGCCCACAACGACTCCCGCTTGACAATTCCGCAGAGTGTGCTGCGAGGCGCCCTGGCCAGAGAGGCCCCGAGACCGAGGAGCGGCGCTTTCCTTGCCGTCGCTCGGACGTCCATTTTCCGTACATTCTTCTGTTTCGTGCGTTATTTTTGTTGCTCGATGGTCCAGGATGGTCCTCGATGGTTCTCGCCGACAAAAATGCACACGTCCGAGCGATGCCAAGTCTCTATCGCTCGAGACGCCTCCTCGCGGGTCGAGCACACGTGGGCGAGGTGCCCCCGCGGGCGCGCGAGCTCGCACGGCCGCCACGGCGGCGCAGTTCGCACAGACAGTGCACTGCTGAATGCTTCTCCCAGGACTTGCCGTCGCTCGGACGTCCATTTCCCGTGCATTTTTCGGTTTCGTGCGTGTGTGTTTTTGCTCGATGGTCCAGGATGGTCTTCAAGGGTCCTCGCCGAGGAAAAAATACACATGTCCGAGCGATGCCAGGAGGAGCTGGTACAGTGGGGGCCGGTCCAGAAGAGACCTTCCGCAAGAGGCCCAGCCCTGAGACCCCAGGACTTCCATTGATTTTTGGCGTGGGACAGTCACGATCTCCATCGCAGAACCATCGAAAACCAAGACACCCAGGGCACCCTGAAGGCAAGCAGGGTGTGTCTTGGCATGGCTCTCCACTGTACAGGGTGCACTGCTGCATGCTTCTCCCAGGAGCTGGTATGAGACGACGCCCCCCCCCCAGAAAAAAGATTAGCCTGGCGAAAGACCCAACCATATGCAGTTGTGAGTGCCGCACTTGTGAGTACCGTCTTCGGTGGAGCTCCCTATGGGGCCACGAACCCTTTGAGGGGTGCGCCGAAATGAGGGTGGAACTGCATGCGAACGCTGCCACTGGTGCCTTCGGTGGAGCTCCCTATGGGGCCACGACCCCCTGTGAGGCGTGCGCTGAAATGAGGGTGGAACTGCATGCGAACGCTGCCACTGGTGCCTTCGGTGGAGCTCCCTATGGGGCCACGAACCCTGTGAGGGGTGCGCCGAAATGAAGGTGGAACTGCATGCGAACGCTGCCACTCGGGCCTTCGGTGGAGCTCCCTATGGGGCCACGAGCCCTGTGAGGGGTGCGCCGAAATGAAGGTGGAACTGCATGCGAACGCTGCCACTGGTGCCTTCGGTGGAGCTCCATGGAGGAGGCACGACCCCCTGTGAGGCGTGCGCTGAAATGAGGGTGGAACTGCATGCGAACGCTGCCACTGGTGCCTTCGGTGGAGCTCCCTATGGGGCCACGAACCCTGTGAGGGGTGCGCGGAAATGAGGGTGGAACTGCATGAACGCTGCCACTCGGGCCTTCGGTGGAGCTCCCTATGGGGCCACGAACCCTGTGAGGGATGCGCCGAAATGAGGGTGGAACTGCATGCGAACGCTGCCACTGGGGCCTTCGGTGAAGCGGCCCCAGGAGGCCCCAACAGGCGCCCAAGAGGCCTCCAAGAGGCCTCAAGACGCAATCGAGGCATGGCCCAAGACGCTCTAAGAGACGTCCGGGACCGCCAAGAGGCCCCCAAGACGCTCCCAGAGGCCTCCAGTGGGGGGCCCTTCCTCTGTGTACTGCCCACTTCCCTGATCGAGGCAATTCATCTGGGCATCGTTTCTGGTTGGGCTGGTGGGGTTACGCGAAGCGGCTAGAATAAGAAAGACTCAATAATATCCAAAAAGAATCCAAAAATGCTCCCAAAATCGTCGCAGACTATTTTTTGACTATTTTTTAAGATTCCCCCTGTAGAGTGACAGGCCCGACTTACGAGGAGACGCCGACCCCTCGACCCCTCGACAGGACGGCCAGCAAGGGGGGGAACCGAGCAGGAGAAGGCATGCCCAGAAGGCGGCTTGGACTCCTCGGAAGCCCCGCTCGCGCCTCCCGAGAGGTCTTTTCACGGCGTCTCCGAGGAAGGCTCAGGAAACTTCTCTGAAGGCACCCATGCCTTCCGAGCCTTCTGAGAGTCGGGGGCGCGCAAACATGGATTAGCGATCCATGGACTTGGCGCGCGGTCGCCAAATCCATGGATCGGGGGAGGTGCCCTCCCCCAAAAGCGGCCGGTGCCGCGCGATCTCCCATGGAAACGGGACCCGTCGCTAATCCACGCCCCCTTACAGTCGGGGCCCTGAAGAAGGAACCCTTTTCGTTGGGGAGGGGCTCCGTGTTCCTTAGTTGTTTTACAGTGCTCCTTGGGTTTTCCTGGGGCTCTCCATGGAAAATCGGAGTTTAACTTATGGGAAAAAGGGGCCTCGTTCCTTATTCAGGGTTCCTTGGGTCAACGCCTCGACCGTGCTCCATGCTTGCGATCGCCTGGACGAGGGCCCGCCCCTTCTCCCTCCCCCCCCCGGGCCCGCCACCGATCGAGAGGACGGCCCCTCGTCGAGCGCCCCACACGTAAGCCCGGGCGTCCGATGCCTTGCTAATCCTCCTCCTCCTCCCTCCTCCTCCTCCTCCTCCTCCTCCTCCTCCTCCTCCTCCTCGTCCTCCTCCTCCTCTCCTCCTCCTCCTCCTCCTCCTCTTGCTCCTCCTCCTCCTCCTCCTCCTCATCATCCTCTTCTCCCTCCTCCTCCTCCTCCTCCTCCTCCTCCTCCTCCTCCTCCTCCTCTTCTCCCTCCTCCTCGTCCTCGTCCTCCTCCTCCTCCTCCTCCGCCCGTCGCCGCAGATCCCTCCTCGAGGGTCCCAGGGCCCGGCGAGGGCCCCGGGCGCCGAAGAACAACGGCGAGCTCTCGGCCGGAGCTTGTCAGCACGCTGGTGGTCCGGGGGGAGGAGGAGGAGGAGGAGGAGGAGGAGGAGGAGGAGGAGGAGGAGGAGGAGGAGGAGGAGGAGGAGGAAGGAGGAGGGGGCGACGGAGGAGGAGGAGGAGGAGGAGGAGGGAGGAGGAGGAGGAGGAGGCGAGCTGTGGCTGACGCGCTTTTCCCTCCTGGACACTCCAGGCGAACCGCGGTACAGATGGTGGAGCGGTGCGCGCCCCTCGCGCGGCAGCGCTCGACCTCTGCTTGAGACGGACAGGGCCCCCCGCGGGGCAGGCGCGAAGCTCGACTCTCAAGCAGGGCTCGAAATAAGCAGCGCTTTCCTCCTTCGCTCCGTGGACGGGGATCGAGCTTCGAGGTTCGAAGATCGAAGTCTTTGGCATTCAAAACATCTATTTCTTGAATTCAAAAGAATGGTCTTTTGAAACAGAAAAGCCAAAGCTGTATGCACATAATCATGCTGGTACTGCCTGTCCTCGTCTCGGAGGCGCGAGGCCGACCCGAACATTTAGTATATACCCATCTTGCAGCATGTCGTTTCCCGAGCGGTGTGGCCAGAAAGCGCCCGCCAAGACGCAGCTACAATAAGATTTCTCCGTGCGCGCGTCGGCCCAAGGTGGGCGACGCGCACATAGTATGTTGGGGTGACGCCGTGTGCTGTTTCCGCTGTTTCTTGGTTGTCTTCGCCCCTCCTTTCTGCAAAACGAAACTGAAACGCAAGCGGTCCACGGAACCGCCCCAACACCGTTCAGCTCGAGCCCTGCTCTCAGCACGTGCCGCTCCATATGAGCAGACAACGAGCGATCAGATGCAGCATCGTTGGCGGCACCACGCAGAAAGTGCGCCCTACAGCTGGCCTGTACGCTACAGCAAGTACTCGCGGTGAGCGCCTCTGCTCACCGCGAACAGGTGGGAGAACAACAAACCTAAAAGAAACAACTGCATTCGCATAAATGTTCGGAGGTCCGCGCGGGCACTGGGGCCCCACCTGGCGCGCGCCACGTGCCAGGGAGGGGGCTTGGCGCAGATCCGAAAACATCCGCGCGGAGCTCCGAAAGCTTATGCTGATGCCGATTTCCTCTTGCGAAAGGGCGGATGGTGATACAGGAGAAGTGGTCAGACCACTGTGGTCTGCCGAGATCTGCGACGACCTCTGCACGCTGCAGAGGACGGCGCGGCCGCGGCAGGTCGCGGGTCATCTGTCGGACCGCTGATCGGCGCAGGCCCAGTAGCTCCCGGTGTCCTTGAATGGATGGAAGGCTACTCTGTCTGGGTCGTCGCACGGCGCGTCGCTGCACCGCGCGTCGCCGACGAGAGTGAAGTCGTCTATGCCTACCGCCCCAAGAGTGCCCATGCACTCCTGCATGTACATGTCCTCGCCCCAGCCCTGCCAGGGCAGCTCCTTGCAGGTCAGCGAGCCTGCCTCGTAGAGCCGCATGGCTGGTATGGAAAACACCTCTATGGCGCCGAAGATCTTTGACACGCCGCCCCAGTTGCAATTGAGGATGAAGATGTTCTGCCCCGTGTGATCCTTCACATGCGTTCGCAGCCGGCTTGGGTAGAACACTGCGTCTGGGTCCACCTTGACGATCCAGTCGTGGCTCCAGATGTGCCCGCTGTTCATCAGAGTGTCCCAGGCCAGCAGAAATGATTGGGTGTTCAGGAACGATGAGGTCGTAACCCCCTCCTGCGTCAGGTCCCCCATGGGCACGG